TACCATCCCCTGCCGCGCCTGCCCCCAAGCCCCTCGTCGCCAGCCGGGTGCGGTCCGCTGCTGCGGGGAAGGGGTCGCGCCTTTCCCTGGGCTGTGAGCGCCCTCCGGCCGTGCCCGCTGGGGTGAGATGAGCGGGGGGCGGGTCGTGGGGTGCGGGGAGAGAGGAGCGTCTTAAAAATGTTCCAAACCAGCCTCCTCCTGCAGGGCTGGCCCAGTGCCCCAGTTCGGCGCTAGGGGGCGCTGTGGGGCAGAAAGAGGGCAGGGCTCAGCAGGGGGCGCTCTTCCCTGGCAGGCAGGGCTGGCTGCAGTGCCCCAGGGCGGCGCCCGGCGGCGTCTTAAAAATGTTCCAAACCAGCCTCCTCCTGCAGGGCTGGCCCAGTGCCCCAGTTCGGCGCTAGGGGGCGCTGTGGGGCAGAAAGAGGGCAGGGCTCAGCAGGGGGCGCTCTTCCCTGGCAGGCAGGGCTGGCTGCAGTGCCCCAGGGCGGCGCCCGGCGGCGAGGGGTCGCTTTCCCCAGGCAGCCAAGGCTGGCCCAATGCTCCAGGGCGGCGCTAGGGGGCAGGGCTCAGCAGGGGGCACTCTCCCTGGGAGGCAGGACTGGCCAGGGCACTAGGGGGCGCTGTGGGGCAGAAAGAGGGCCTGGCTCAGCAGAGGGCGCTCTTCCCTGGCAGGCAGGGCTGGCTGCAGTGCCCCAGGGCGGCGCTAGGGGGCGCTGGGCTGCGCTGGGCTGCAGGGGATGAATTGTATGGGTTTTTTTTTTCAGGAATTACAAACACAATGTAAAGTCATTTCTCTCCCGCTCCCTTGCCAGCCCCAAGGAGCTGAGCCCCGATGGCCTTTGAGACGATCCGCCGGGGACGGGAGCGACTCATCACCCTCCTGCTGCCAACCCCCGACCTCGTCTTGGACGAAGCGGCCTCGCTGGGGCTAGTCACTGAGGAGGAGTACGAGGCCTTGGAGAAGATCTCGGAGCCCAGGGAGCGGATCCGCCGGCTGCTGATAAAGATCCAGAGGAAGGGGGAGTGCGGCTGTGAGCAGTTCCTGGCATGTCTGCAGAGCCTCTTCCCCGACTTCCCGCCGGATTTACAGCCCCCGGCACGCCGTGAGTGGGGCCTTTCTCAGTGATTAGCGGGATTCTGTGTGAGAGACCAGATGGAGTCAGGAGACGCTGCCAAGTCACTACATACTGGGGATGGGTTGGACCTATTAGAAAGGGACTGGGGCGGGGTCAGGCTCTCCTGGGTGAGACGCTCCAATGGGTGTCACATTCCTAGAAACCTGAGGATTTATTCCTGTATCCCCCTGTAGTACATAAGAACGACCAGACGGGGTCAGACCAAAGGTCCATCTGGCCCAGTGTCCTGTCTGCCCCCAGTGGCCAATGCCAGGTGCCCCAGAGAAATGACCCCTCTCCTGTCACCCACTTCCAGCCTCTGACAAACAGAAGCTAGGGCCACCATCCCTACCCGACGTGGCTAATAGCCATTGATAGACCTAACCTCCATGAATCCATCTAGCTCATTTTTTAACCCTGTTAAAGTCCTGGTTGTCACAGCCTCCTCTAGCAAGGAGTTCCACAGATTGACGGTGGCTGGCCCCCAAGACACCTCGCCCTTCTCTCTGGACCAGGGCAGTTCCTGGAATTGTGAAGAAATCTGTCAGGCGCTGAGATGGCATCTCTTTGTTTTCCCTGTGCAGAGGGTGTAACACAGACAAACGAAGCAGAGAATCCAGAAGGTAGCGAGTCCTCTGAGAAGACTGGACAAGAACATTTAGAAGCTGATGTAACCTCATGGAGAAAGGATCCAGAAAATCCAGAAGGCGGCGAGTCCTGCGAGAAAACTGGACAAGAAAATCTAGAAGCTGCTTTAACCTCAGGGAGGAATGATGCAGAAAATCCAAACGTTGGGGAGTCCTCCGAGAAAGCTGGACAAGAAAATCTAGAAGCGGCTTTGACCTTAGGGAGGAATGATCCAGCAGATCCAGAAAGTGCTGTACCGCATGAGGAGAATGACCGTGGGAATGCAAAACCAGAAGATGCCATGTTCTCAGAGAAGAACGATCCAGAAAAGATGGAAGAACCTAAGATGCCGGGAGACGTGTTGTCATCTGGGGAGAGACCAGTGACACCAACTTCTACCACATCTCTAATGAAGAGCAGATCAGAAACCCTGGAAGCTGCTTTGCCCTCCAAGAAGATTGATCCTGAGAGTCCAGGAGGTGCCAGGCCTTCAGAGAAGGATACAGTTGCGGTGTCCTGCGAGGGAGCTGATGCTGAAGGTACAGGATGGGTCTCTAGATTTGCCCTGGAGGGCAGTCCTTAAGAAGTATTTATGGTGGCTGGGCACTGAGCACAGGATCCTGGGCGGGTTCTCCCCGGGGCTGTATGGTGAGGGACAGAGGGAAAGCGGGGCTCGATTTCACATGTAGGAAGGATCTAATGCCCGAGTGCTTGGACCCCTTGTCAGAGCGGAAGGTGCTCGTGGATTGCTTGTGGACATCCAGGGGGAGGAGCGGTGGTGCTTTCAGCACCCTGGAGCTCTATGGATTAACAGGTTCACTCAACCACGAACCCCACCTCAGAGAGCTTAGTGCCTGGATCTCCATTTCAGCAGCTCCCGCTACAAACTCGGCTCCTCCTCTCTTTTAATCGGGGCGAAGGTAGAATTCCAGGGAGCCTGGAGTTCTCCAAGGGGTTTATGAGATGGAGCAAGACTCGAAGGTCACCTCTTGGAAACCCTCGGCTAGACAACATGGATGTACAGGCTCCTCCCCTCCGTGAACGTGAACTTAAGCGATTTTCACTTGTGTTGCTTTGCAGGGTCTGGAAGTCACCCCTGTTGTGGAGAAGAAGGGACGAGCGCAGCAGTAAAAGGGAACTTGGAAGGTAGGGGCTCTGCCATTGTGACCAGACGATCAGTTAGACCTGAGCACGTAGGTGAGACGCGCCAGCCAGACCCCGGGTAGGACTTCTCTGTCGTAACTCAGAGCCCATCACCAGCGGGTGGAGCTATTTGCTCCTGGCCGTTCCCTTTTGGGCTACATGCCGCCGTACACAGCCTCCTATTCCCATCCCCCTCCATGCACTTGTCAAGGCTGTTGGGTTTTTTTGGCCCCATTGCTCCCTTTGGAAGGCTGATCCAGAACGACCCTGCTCTGATCGTTACAAATCTTTGTCTCCTCTCAAACCCGCACCTGTTGACGGCCCATTTATATCACGTTTGTTCTCGTCGATATTTGTGCTGATCTTCAATAACGTCTGTTGGGTATACAGCGTTACTCCATCTTCCCCTCTCCTTCCTATTTTAAGAGGGATAAGGGATCTTTCGGAAAAGGCTTTATTTTCCGAAAGATCCGCGTCTAGACTGGTGCTTTTTTCCGGCAAAGCTCCAAGCTGAAAAAAAGCGGCAGCCATTTTTATGCTAATGAAGCGGGGGAGATTTAAATCCCCGCTTCATTAGCAATTGCGATACGTCTAATTTGCATCCCTTTTACGGAAAAGGGATGTAATCTAGACGTAGCCCTGGTGTTTATCCCGCTGCTGTGTGTATGGAGAGCAACCAGATCTCCCCTCGGACTTCTTGTGAAGTCAGGCGAGCTCTTTGGATCTCCTCTGACAGAGTAGGTTTTCCATTCTTCAGATCACCCCGCAGCCCTGCTCTGCCCTGTCCCAGTTCGAATTCATCTGCCGTAGACCCGGCAGACCAGATGGCACATAGGAGTCCACATGAGGTCTCACCCTAAGGACATCAGAACGGGCACACTGGGTCAGACCAAGGGTCCATCTATCCCACGGTCCTGTCTTCCAACAGTGGCCAATACCAGGTGCCCCAGAGGGAGGAAACACAACCGGGAACCATCAAGTGATCCCTCTCCTGACGCCCATTCCCAGCTCCTGACAGAGGCTCGAGACACCATTCCTCCCCATTCTGGTCAATAGCCATTGATGGACCTAACTTCCATGAAGGCATCTAGCTCTTTTTGGAACCCTGTTACAGTCCGGGCTTGTGAAATGGCAGCAACACCTGCCTGTCTGTGCTGGAAATAGTGCCCTGATGCACCTTAGATCTACGTGAGTCTCTTTCATGACCACATCCTATTGATGGTGCATAGCCATGCTGTGATCGATCAATACACCCAGGTCTTTCTCCTCTGTCCCTTCCAACTGGTAAGAAGTCCCCAGTTTATAGCAAAAATGCTTACTAGCCCCTAAGTGCATGACCGTGCGCTTTGCACTATTAAATATCTATTACTCCCATGTTCAAAGTCTTCCAGATCTTCTTCTACAAGATTCCAGTCCTCTCCCTTGTCCCTCCACACCATCAGCCCGATCCCCCCCAAGCTCAGCCCAATCACCGAAGCTGTAGGAGCCTTAGCAAGATCTCCCAATGTTGTCTTCCCTGCACATTAACACATCCCACTTTCTGTGCCATGGTCACTGATAAAAATGTTTGGTCCCTAGAGCGGGGTGGCCAACCCGTTAAAGGCAAAAAGCCACAATAGTTGGGGATATCGCGCAAAGAGCCGAGGGGAAAAAAGTTTTTGAGCAAAAAAACCGGAAAGCCCCAGCTGCATTTGGTTGAGAGAAAAAAAAAGGCTGCCCCTTTAAACAAAACTCTGGGTGGCTTTTTGGCCACATCAGGCTCCTGTTGGCCGGCGCCATCTTATCGGTGCCATTTTGCTTCAACGCGCCGGACGGTGAGCACAGGGGACAGGGGGCCGTTTTTAGGGGCAAAGGGGCAGCTTCGCGAGCCACAGGCTTCACAAGCCGCAATTAAAGGGGGAAGAGTCACATCCAGCTCAGAAGGCACGGGTTGGCCAGGCCTGCCCTGGAGTGATCCCGGAGGAGCTCCATTCGTAACCTCCGACCTGATGGTTTCGTATGTCTGCTTTTGTAAGCAAGTGGTTTTGAAGTGAGGTGACACTGGTGGAATGCCAGGTGCGTCAGACACTTGACGGGTACAATCGTCTGCCCCAGCTGAGAAACACTCCTCTAGGGTATCTGAGCAGGCTTCTCTTCTGGAGCCACTCTAGACTCGGATGTCTCCATGTCAGAGAGCAGGCCCCAGACCCCAGAAGTTGCCATGGTGATGGAGAGGAGCGGAGCTGAGACACCAGAAGATTCTGCATCGGTGGGCAGGAGCGGAGCTGAGACACCGGAGACCTCTCCCAGCAAAGTTCCCGGAGGTAGAGTCCAGACAACATCTCTCCCCGCCCTCCCCCCAATCTCTCTCCCAGCCCAAGTCCCTCAGCCCTGAGTTGGCCACAGGGGAAGTCAATAAGGGTCCCCCACGTTTCTGTGGTTGGATAGAAGAACGTCCCTATCTCTTCTGCGGGCCATGCCTTGCAGAGGTTATGTCTAGACTACATCCCTCTCTCGAAAAAGGGATGTAAATTAGATCGAAATGGCAAAGGAAGCTGGGATTTGAATCTCCCGCGCTTCATTTGCATAATGGCGGCCGCACATTCTTTCGAAAACGGGCATTTCGAAAGTGAAACCGCTGTCTAGACTCCTCATTTTTGAGGGGTACAGGATCGTTCGAAAAAGGAGGTTTCACTTTTGAAATACCCGTTTTCGAAAGAACGCAGTGACACGATTATACAAATGAAGCACGGGATATTTAAATCCCCGCTTCATTTGCACTTTCGATGTGTCTAATTTACATCCCTCTTTTGAAAGAGGGATGTAGTTTAGACATACCCAGAGTGTCCATTCACGAAACGTGGAAGATGCTGGGGTTGTTTTACAAATACTACTTGTCGAGCTGACTGGAGAACAGAAAATGGTTTTGGGGCAGATTCTGAGATTTTGAAATTTTGAGTTTTACCCCTCCCCATCTGGAACTAACACCCCCAAATCCTCCAGAAACGAAAATTGGGGGGGTGGGTGGGAGAAGACATTATTTCTGAGCCAGTGGGAACGCATGTGGCCCAACCGTGAGTAGGGATGTTAAATTTAGTTGAATCAACTAATCGACTAGTCAATGGGATTCCCATTGATTAGTCAATAAAGCAGGGGAGCCCCAGAGGGGTTAGCTCTTCTCCCTGGGAGCTAACCCCACTACAGCTCTGCCTTTTAAATGTATTAAGAGGTTGCAGACTCTTCATACATTTTAAAAGCAAAAGTGCAGCATTTGGGACCAGGCACGAACTGGGAATCAGCCGATTCCCAGCTTGTGCCAGGTCCCTGCTGTCCCTCTGCCTCTCCTGCCCCCACGGAGACAGTGCTGGAGGGAACCAGCTTTTAAGCCTGCTCCCCCTAGCACCGACTCCTGGTCATTCCCCCCTGCAGCAAGGAGGGAGAAGCGACTAGTGGACGGACTAGTCAATTAGTCACATCCCGAATTGTGAGATACCCTGCTGTTTCCAGCCATGGTTGCCTAGCAACTCAATGAGCACGGCTGGGCTCAATAAACTTGCCCTGAGGCCATGTCTACACTTACCAGCCAATCAACACTACAGCAATCCATGCAGCGGTGTCGATTGAGTGGGTCTAGAGAAGACACGCTAAATTGATAACAGAGCACTCTCCGGTTGGCTCCAGTACTCCGGCTTCCTGAGAAGTCAGAAGTTGGTGGGAGAACATCTATCGACATGGGGCGGGGTGGACACCGCTGTAGGTTGACCGAAGCTCTGCTTCAGTTACATTATTCCCATAGCTGGCGTAGCACAACTGAGAATGACTTGCCTCAGTAATGTAGACAAGACTGCGCTCCCTGACAGACGGACCCACAAGTCCCTATTTAAGCCAGGTAGCCACAGCAGCAGCCACAGCATCGACTCAATGCGTTCCTCATCCACAGCCCCACCAGACCTACTCCCGCCCAGCCCTTCCTCAGTCACATGGCTGCTCCACTCCTGCCCTGAACCCCAGCCTCTAATCCCCAGCTGGCTTCTTAACCGTGTGTCCGCTTCTGCCCTTCTGCTCCACTATGACCAGTAGGCCAGACTGCTGCCCCAAGTCTTGGTCACACCATCTACACCTCAGTGTGGGACATCCAGTCCCAGAAGTGAGGGGGTCTTGATAAAGGGAAGCATTCCTCAGAATTAGCAGAGGCAAAGGGGCATGAGTGGATAGCTGGGTTAGTCACCTCCGTTGTGATGGTGCTTGGAACGGCTGGTGCCTGTCCCTGCACTCACACGCTGGTCTCGGTTCCCGGTGGTGAGGACCAGGAATCGCCGCTGAGGCCAGTAGCTGTTCACCTATCTGGAAGCGTGAGGAGACTCTGCTCCAGCAGGGTGAGGGCTTTAGGTCTAAATCCTGGGAAAAGAGAGACCGAGAGGAAGCTGTGACCCCATCCCAAGTGGTGACGCCTTCATTTCCCACCTGCAGGGAGAAGAGCTGTGAAGACCGTCCTGTCCAAGCTGAAACTCAGGAAGTTCAGAAGCCGGAAGCTGAGGCTGAGGGATCTCCTGGAAATCAGCCCAGAGAGCCTGAAGGATTGGACTCCTCATGCCTTGGTAGATTTGCCTTGGAACTTCCTGAGGAAGCTCATGGCTCTGAACGGGACAGCCAGAAGCACAAGCTTTGGGCAGGGGGCATCTGACGAGGACACAAGTGAGGACGAGGAGGGTGGGGTGAGAGGGGACGTGTTCTCTCTGAGGGAAGATGACTCTACGGTTTCTCTGCACCCCCTGGACGTTCTCTGCGCCGTGCTGCTTTGCTCAGACAGTTTCCTGCAGCAGGAGATCCTGTCCAAAATGTCCATGTGCCAGTTTGCCCTGCCTCTGCTGCTGCCCGCCCTCGACTCCCCCAGGTGCACCCTGCTGCTGTGGGCCATGCGGGACATTGTGAGGAGGTGGCGGCCGCACTCCCTGGCACAGAGCCGAGGGTTCAGGGAGGAGAGCCTGGTGCTCACCCCAATGCCAACCGTCTCCTTTGTGCGGCTGGGCAGCTGCAGCTTCTCCAAGTCCCAGCTCCTCAACGAGGTTCTCAGCCCCGCCCAGCAGCACCACGACTTCTTTGTGCATCGGGACATGGAGTCTGGGAATGTCCCACGGGAAATCGCCGATGGGCTAGTTGAGATTGCCTGGTATTTCCCTGCCGGGCAAGAGAATTTGGATCTTTTCCCCGAGCCCGTTGCGGTTACAAACCTGCGCGGGGACATCGAGTCACACTGGCTGCAGTTCAGCTTTTTAACAGAGATCGCGTCAGCGGTGTTCATCATCACTGAGAGCATCAGTGAGAGAGAATACGCCCTGTTCTCCTCTCTGCAGGGATCTACCACTCAGTACTACTTCATCCTTAACAATCAAGGTCAGAATACCGAAGAGACATTGGCCCATCTCAATAAATTAGCCCTGCTGCTGGACATGAACAAATCGCAACTTCTTGTGAAACAGAAGAGCAACAGCGCGGAGCTGGTGAGAAAGCTACGATCCACTCTGCGGGGCATCATCAGCTCCTCTCCCAAGACCACAAGCACCCGAGACATGGCCGGGACAGCCCGGGAGCTTGGCATCCAGGTGGATGAAGACGGTGGAGCCTATCGGACAGCACTGGAACACGTTGAAGAAATCACTGCGGAAATCCAGGACGTGGCGAAATACAAGAAGGACGTGCTGAGGCTCCAAGGGGATCTGTGGAGGAACTTGGCCAAAGTGGAGAAAGAGCTGTGCCGCATGAAAGGCCAACGGGACGTCCCTCCAGAAGACTACCGGTCCCAGCTGAGAGAGCGGTGGTTGGAGCTACGCAGGCAGCAGAATCAGTGTGACCTTACCAGCGGGATGGTGAAATTTATTAGCGGGATAGGACAACTGGGTCCAGCCGAGAAACATCACTTTCTGAAATGGATGAAGTTCCACCTGGACGGCATTGCCCGGGGGAACCTCTCTAGGCTCCGGGCTGAGTACAGAGAGAAATGTCACGCTCTAGGGGACGATGCCCAACAGTTGGCAGAACTAGATGGACTCATCTCGGCCAGCTCCCTAGGGCTGGAGCATTTCATGCGTGAGCTGGGGCAATTTTACGAGGCCGAATGGTCGATGGTCAAAGAAGCGAAGATGGGGAACAACCAAAGACAATTCACCTGTCTCCCCGGCATCGCGGCTGAGCTGATGCTGGAAGGGTTTCCCATGGAGCTGATCGATGGAGATGCCTCCAACATCCCCCTGCAGTGGGTGACTGACGTTCTGACTCAGCTCCATGCCAAGCTGGGGGGAAGGTCCAGGATGCTGGTTCTAACAGTGCTGGGAGTGCAGAGCACTGGGAAATCCACCCTCCTCAACACCATGTTCGGCCTGCAGTTTGCAGTGAGCAACGGCCGATGTACACGAGGAGCCTTCATGACGCTCATTAAAGTTACAGAAGCTGTTCAGAAGCTAAGTGGCTGCGATTTCATCCTGGTGATCGACACCGAAGGAGAGGACAGCTATGAACACGACAACGAGCTGGCCACGTTAGTAATAGGACTGAGCGACATCACCATCGTTAACATGGCCATGGAGAACGCCACGGAAATGAAGGATGTTCTGCAAATTGTGGTCCATGCCTTCCTCAGGATGGAGCAAATCGGGCACAAACCCAACTGCCAGTTTGTGCATCAGAACGTCAGTGATGTGTCTGCGCATGAGCAGAACATGAGGGACCGGAAACACCTCCTGGAGCAGCTGGATGAAATGACCAGAGCTGCCGCCAGGATGGAAAAGCAAAGCAGGGAGATGAAATTTTCCGACATCATGGACTATGACCCAGAGAAACACAGTTGGTACATCCCCGGGCTGTGGCATGGAGTCCCGCCCATGGCCCCAGTGAATATGGGGTACAGTGAGAGCGTGAGGGAGCTGAAGAAATACCTGTGTGAATTCATGAGACACCGATCACCTCACAGACCCCCCAAGGACATTCCCCAGTTCATCGAGTGGTTGGGCAGCCTCTGGAACGCCGTGAAACATGAGAACTTCATCTTCAGTTTCAGAAACAGCCTGGTGGCCGAGGCCTACACCCAGCTGTCTGTGAAGTTCTCAGAGTGGGAGTGGGAATTCCGCAAGGAGATGCATCTCTGGATATCCAAGGTAGAAACCACCATCCAGAACCAATCCCCAGACAACCTGGGTCCAGGCACCTTTGAGAAGCTAAGGCTGGAAGTCCACCAGATGCTGCATGATGGGGAGCAGAAGGTGCTGCAAAATCTTCAGAGCTACTTCGAGAGTGGAGCCGGGAACCTGCACCTGGTAGAGAAATACAGAGAAGATTTTCTTCGGAGCACGACATTTCTCCGGCACGAACTGGAAAGCTATTTGCTCTGCAAGTCCGAAGAGGCCATTCGTATCCAGAAAGGTCGGAGCAAGATAGACCATCTGCAGGCCAGGTACATGAAAACCATTGAAGGGAAGGTGGATGGGCTCTTGCGGCAGTGCAGGGAGAGGGAGAAAGAGCTAAATGAAAAGGAACTGAAAAAGGAGTTTGCCAAGATGTGGAAGGAAACCATAGCAGAGCTGCCGCTGGAGAGCTTACCCCTACGCCAAATCCACAAAGACATCCACTACCACCTGTGGAAGGACCTGCAGAACAGAGGGAGTTTGGTCAAGCAAGTGTTCCATCAAGCCCAGAGCTTGCTCAGCTACCGAAACAAACCTTTCCGCATCAAGAAGGAATATCTAGACTTGGGGTGGTGCAAAGCAGCGATGGAGTTTATAACCCAGCAATGTTCACGTGAACTCGAAGAATTCACAAAGTCCCTGGTGGAGGAATGTAGAAGGTACATTGGGCAGAAGGTCCAATCTGGTGGGGATTACGACCAGACTTACTGCGGGGAACTGCTGTGGCTCATCAATGACAGGCTCCAGCAGAAGATCGGGGGAAACATTCGCACCAGCGCGTCCTTCGAAGTCGACTTGAAGCTTCACATCCTTGGGGAGGCAGCCAGCGCCTTCCAGCAGATGCACGAAGATTTCCTCAAGAAGAATGACCCTCAGCGCCGCCTGGAAGAGCTGAGACCTCAGTATTTCTCCACCTTCAGAGACCTTTACTACGAGAAAGATGCCTGCCAGAAGAGGGCTTTTGATTTCTGTGACCGGTGCCTGAAACCTGCCCTGTGGGACTATATGAAAAAGAGGCTGGGGATTGAGATAGTGGACGACTTTCTCAGCAGCGGAGAGTCCATCGAGTACGGCAGCCGGAGCTTTTTCCAGTTCACCGTGCAGAAGAAACTGCTGGAGGAGATGAACTTCGATAACTATGTGAAATACATTGTTGACTATGAAGGGTTTGTCAAATCCTGGATCCAGACACGCCTCTTTGATCACTACAGAGAGACCAGAGGTTTGGGGGATCTGGAAGTCCAGGATGCTCTGGAGACCTCTGAATGCAAAGAAGCCCTCACCGTCTCTGAGTTCTTGGACCACTTTTGCCAAGCGATGTGCAAGGAGCTGGTGATCTCCAAGGACAGTTTGGAGGTGATTCTCTTCATGAACACAGCTAGCGTTGGACAGTTCTTGGCCGATATCCAGGCCTTCCTCCCCCAGGTGGAAGAAAGCGTCCTCTCAGGGTGGGAAGAACTAGCAGGGGACATGGTCTTCACACAGCTCCAGTTCCAGCCCCAGGATGAGATTTTCAAGCGCGTGTTCGGCTGCGGGAAGCAGTGTCCATTCTGCAAAGTCCCCTGCGAAGCAGGCGGAAGCGACCACAAGGAGCATTTTGCATCGGTGCATCGGCCACAAGGGCTGGGGAATTTCAGGGAGGAGACAAGTAAAAGGCTTGTGTATTCTTTATGCTCCTCTGATGTGGTTTCTGGCAACTCATTCAGAGGCCTGTTCACAGCCTTCCAGTGGCAACCCTACAAAGATTATCGCCGATTCTTCCCCACCTGGCGCATCCAGCCGGACCCCAGCATCAGTGCCTCGGATTACTGGAAGTTCATATTCAGAAAGTTCAATTCCCAGTTTGCCAGGGAGTACGACGCCTTGCCTGCCAATCTCCCGCCGGATTGGAAAAAATTAACCAAGGAGCAGGCTCTGCAGAGCATCCGAGAGGCCTTTAACATGGAATAGGGGCTCTGTGTTACGGCGCAGTCTTTAATTCCATAACAAGGCACCATCGATCTTAATCCTGCTGTCTTGTAGCTTCCCATGGCTTGATTTGCCACCTGAAAGGACATCCCTTCTTCGTGTGTAATTGCCTTGGTTAAAACAAAATTAAATTGAAAAGAAAGCAGCTCCCTTGTGTGACATCGTATCGGCACTTCCACGGCTCCTCAGCAGGGCTGCGACCTTTAGACACCCCGCACACACCTCTGCCAGTTAATCTGAGTAACCAATAGCAGTTGTAGGTTGTTCTCCTCCATGGCGACCAGCCACCACAAGTAAGTGAGGGACGTACTTTGCCATTGGGTTCTTATTTGCAGACAGCAGAGGACTGGGGAAACTCAGGACTTCTGGGATCGTTCCCTGGTTCTGTGGGAAGTATGCCCTAGCGGTCATGTCATAGACCCCTCTGTGCATCCATCACCCCCAGCTCAACCTCTTCTGACCAATCCCTTCCAATAAGTCTGCACCAATCCTGGTCTCCTCCTTCGTTACACATTCCAATCCCCAACTGAAAACAGCATCATCATAGGTCAGACAATTATTGCTATGGGGGATGCTACCAGCTGTGCCTATAATATATCTCTACCCTGGGCTTCTTCCCACGGGGAGGCAGAAATATGGCAGAGACATTTCCCTGATGGTAGGTTGGTGGGGTCTATAAAATCCTGGCTGATGTGGAGAAATTAAGAACACGTTATTTATTTGTTCCCAAAACATAACTAGAGGTCACCACATGAAATTAATGGGAAGCAGGTTTAAAACAAACACACAAATATTTTTTCCACACGATGCAGTCAGCCTGTGGAACTCCTCGCCAGATGATGCTGTGAAGGTCAGAACTATCACAGAGTTAAAAAATAACGAGATAAATTTATAGAGGACAGGTCCATCAATAGCTATTAGCCAGGATGGTGGCCCTATACTCTGTCAGAGGCTGGGAATGGGTGACAGGGAGGGATAATTTGATGGTTCCCTGTTCTGTTCAGCTCCTTTGGGGCACCTAGCATTGGGCATTGTCAGCAGAAAGGATACTGGGCTACATGGGCCTTTGGTGTGGCCCAGTATGGCCGTTCTTAACTTCTTGTGGTTTATAACATTTCCTAGGTGCCTATCTAGAGACCTTCCCACAG